GTTTCAGAGAGATTGGAGAAAATAAATCAAGGCTTGAGTGAATAGCAAGCGCCTGAACGTTTTGAATAATTTTTTTAAATTAAAAATATTATTTTTTATGTTTAAGGTGTTGACATATTTTGTTTTTCCTGCTCTATTGATGCATTCTACATCCCAAAGTTCAAATTCTCATACACTGCGATGAAACAAGTTATAAGAACAATGATGTGAATGGGATTGACTCTTCCTTTTGATAACAATTGCAATGAGTTGACAGGGATCGTGGAACCTGAGGGGCCATTCTTTGTTAACAGGATAATACAAAAGGCATTTATCGAAGTAAATGAGAAGGGTACTGAGGCAGCAGCTGTTACTGAGGGATCAGATGATGACATGGGATGTTCGACGTATGAGGCACCAAGATTTGTAACCAATCACTCTTTCTTGTTCATGATAAGGGAGTGCTTTTCAATGGAGCTGTACTAGATCCATCAAATGATCATTCATCAAGTGATTTGGATGATTAGTTTCTTATATTAGTATTTGTTTAAGAACTTTAAGGTTTTATGTTTAAATTTAAGTGATGAATTGTGACCTTTAAAGCTGATGGTAAGTATCTAGGTATTGGTAAGAAAGTATGTTTTTTAGATAGTTATACAATAATTCCAATACAACCGGAAATAAATTTCGTTAATGATTTCTGTAAAGAATATTTCAACTCTTGTTCAGTAACACTTGCTTCAACTAATAGTTAGAAGGAAAATTTTGTCAACTTGAATTTGAAAAAATAGTTTCTCCGTCCCAATTTATGTGGCGTAGATGGTTCATACTTCATATATATCAAAATATCAGTATTGTTGCGTTGGTTTGATGAAAAAATATGTTCCAGTTATGTGTTCATGAATTTTATTAATTACTTTCTAGAGTTAAAGAGTGCTAAAAAGTATACCAAATAAGATTTTAAGGTTTTTGTATAAAATTCTTGGGAAGTGTCCATATTTATATTTAACGTGATCAAATTTTTGCAAAGCTTTCAACTTTTTGCAAAGCTTTCAACTTTGAAACCATGGATGAAACCACGATGAAGAAAAGAAATAGAAAACTCGCTCATTCATCTTCTTCGCAAGCAAATATGGATATGGAAGAGTTTGTCACAAACCAAACAGACGTTTCTTTCATGTTAACTAAACAAGTTTTCTCCGAAGAAGTTAAATGTGATTCGAACCTGGTGTTCTCTCCTCTGTCAATTCAAATTATTCTTGGCTTAATCGCCTCCGGCTCAAAGGAACCAACTACTCTGTTTCCTTAAGTCCAAATCCATTGATGAACTTAATTCTCTGTATTCTCATATTGTCCACAACGTTTTTGCTGATGGAATTCCCAATGGTGGTCCAACTTTGTCCGTTGCTAATGGTGCTTGAATCGACCAATCAACGTCTTTTAAGCCTGCTTTTAAGGAGATTGTGAAGAAGGTTTACAAGGCTACTTCAAAATCTGTTGATTTTCAGAACAAGGTTAGTCCTTCAGCTTGTTTTAATGGTTGCTACATAGTGTATTGTTTTATCCTGTATTATATTGTACTATATTGTATTGTTTGTTGTGAATAGTCGCAAAAAAAATCAATTTAACTGTATCCATTATATAATGGAGTGAGAAAAACGTGAGGTAATTTCGTCAATCTAGCCAAGCTTAGGAGGACAGAGTCAGGGAGGTAGCCATTACTTGTTGGAATAGTTAAGGAGCGTGTAAGCCGGCTTGACCGTGTATTCCATTGAATTGAAATTAATTTTTAGATATTTGTAGATTGATATGGACATGAATTAAGCATAATTAATACTGATAATTCATGTAGTCAATATCAATTAAAATATAGATTATACTGTTGTTAATCCATCAAACTGACTATGAAGTTGTACTTTTTGTTGAATGTTAGTTATAACATTTTTGAGTATATATATGTGTGTGTGCGCGCGCTAATTCTTATCATACTCTGTTTGTCTTCATCTCAAAGCCTGTTGAGGTTGTCAATGAAGTCAATCAATGGACTAAAAAGAATACAAATGGCCTCATCGAGGAGATCCTACCTCATCGAGCAGTAGACAATATGACAAGGCTTGTGTTGGTCAATGCACTCTATTTTAAAGGAGTATGGAATGAGAAGTTCAATGCTTCTAAAACGAAAAACCATAAATTCCATCTCGTCAATGGAAGGTCTGTTCAAGCACCCTTCATGACTAGCTTGAAGAAGCAATACATTAGAGTCTTCAGAAGTTAAGCATGTATTTTGTTCTACCTGATGCACATGACGGATTACCAGATTTACTCGACAAAATCACTTCAAAACCTGGATTCTTAGATCACCACACTCCGTCTAGAAAAGTCAGTGTGGCCAAGTTTCTTATCCCTAAGTTCAAAATTATCTTTTGGATTCGAAGCTTTTAAGGTTCTAATGGGACTCGGCCTCACATTACCTTTTATTGGTGGTCTCACTGAGATGGTGGACGTGGATGAGCCTCTGGCAGTTTCACAAGTTTTTCACAAGTCGTTTATTGAAGTAAACGAGGAAGGTACAGAAGCTGCTGCTGTTACTGCTATGATGCTGGAGGGTGCCGGTTGCTCAATGAATGTTGAAAAGGAGATAGACTTTATTGCTGATCATCCTTTCTTGTTCCTAGTGAAAGATGAGACTGCTGGTGCTGTTTTGTTCATGGGGACTCTGTTGAATCCTCTTGCTGTTTAGCATGTTGCTTCACTACTTCCATTCGTGAATTCTAGTTAGTTACATTGATGTTACCTTTTATTTTAGAATGAATCTTACTATCTTAACACAGAAGTTGTGTACGTCTCAGTTTGTCACCTGTTGTAGTATTCGATTGGTATATGAGTATTGGTCATATAATTTTACTCGTGATTTCTTGTTATTTAGAAAATAAAGGAGTGGAAAACGAGTGATGCTACCGATATGAAAGAACATTTCACTTATTTGACAGGAACTTTAACAATTCATGTTATCCCAGATAGACCATAAATAAAAAAGAACAAGAAGTATCAGCTTAATTTTCAAGCTACGTGCTTATCCAATCAATAAATAACAACATATTGACTCTACTTAGCTTGTTGAAAGTGAGTGTTACGTGTATGAATGCAATCTTCTGAGAATCATATTAATAATCAGTCATTTTCTTTATTCGCCATTTCTCGATTCTATGGAATTGATTCAAATACAAAATTCCACATGTTAAGTAATAGTGCTTGTTATTTTAGTATATAAATTCTTCCAAAGCTTTCACCTTTGATATCATGTCTGGTGCCATATACCCGTCATGGGACTAACTCACTCTCGCTCTCATCATTCTCATTCTTATTCGTCTAGTTCTTTCCATGATCAACGTATTGATATGGAAATGAGTGAATCAATCACCACCCAAACGGGTGTTTCTTTCATTCTCGCAAAGCATGTCTTTTCCAAAGAGATTAAAGGCGATACCAACCTCGTGTTCTCTCCTCTCTCGATTCAAATAGTACTAGGCCTGATTGCTGCAGGCTCAAAGGGGCCAACTAAGGATCAACTACTCTGTTTCCTCAAGTCCAAATCCATCGATGAACTCAATTCTCTGTATTCTCATCTTGTCAATATCGTCTTTGTTGATGGAAGCCCCAATGGAGGTCCACGTTTGTCCGTTGCTAATAGTGTTTGGATCGATCAAACACTGCCTTTTAAGCCTTCTTTTAAAAAGGTTGTGGATAACATTTACAAGGCTGCTTCAAATTCTGTTGATTTTCAGAACAAGGTAGGCCTTTTTGTAATTTGTTTCATTGAAATTCCACTTTGTTAAGTTAAGCATAATGCTGATTCTGTCGTAAAATCTGTTTGTTTTACTAATTGATTAAGGCTACTGAAGTTGCCAACCATGTCAATCATTGGGCCAAAATGAAGACAAATGATCTCATCAAAGAGATTCTTCCTCATGGTACAGTAAACAATATGACAAGGCTCATCTTTGCAAACGCGCTATATTTTAAAGGAGTGTGGAACGACAAGTTCAATGCTTCAGAAACAAAAGACTATGAATTCCATCTCCTCAGAGGAGGGTCTATTAAAGCACCTTTCATGACCAGTAATAAGAAGCAGTATGCAGTAGCCTTTGATGGCTTTAAAGTATTGGTACTTCATTACAAACAAGGTAGAGACACTACGCGTCATTTCTGTATGTATCTATTTTTGCCAGATGCTCGTGATGGACTACCAGCTTTAGTAGACAAAATCAATTCAGAACCAGGATTTTTAAACCACCATGTTCCGTTTGAAAAGACTAAAATGCGCAAGTTACTTATCCCTAAATTCAAAACAACTTTTGGTTTTGAAGCTTCTAAGGTTCTAAAGGGACTTGGTGTCACTTCCCCTTTCACTAGTGGTGGCCTCACTGAGATGGTAGATTCCGCGTTAGGTGGCAGGTTGTTTGTTTCACAGATTTTTCACAAGTCATTCATTGAGGTAAATGAAGAAGGAACTGAAGCTGCAGCTGTTACAGCTAGTGTAGTAATGACTAAGTCCTTGATAATTGAGAAGGAAATCGACTTTGTTGCTGACCATCCATTCCTTTTCCTTATAAGAGACGACGTTACTGGTGTTGTGTTGTTCATAGGGAGTGTGCTGAATCCTCTAGCTGGTTAATTAGAGGTGTTATGTATCTAATTATTCTCTATTTGCAACTTAGTTTTAGGTAACAGAATGACACTAAATCTTAAGTACATGTTTAATGGATGGAGCTTTCATAATTCTTATTTAATCAGAAGAAGTAAACACTATTACTTAAAGGTAATATGTCATTTTCTCTTTATTGTACTCATTCTTCTTTAGATATTATATAAATTAACATCCACCTGGACCTGAAAGTGATTTGATCAAAACAACTTAATGAAAAATAACACAAAAGCCTGTTGACTAAATGAGTTAATTTATCACTCAACTAATAGTTATATCTCGGAAAATCACTTTTTATAAAAAAAATTGAAAAAAAGTTGGAATTCAGAAAGAAATGTGACTTTCTGATAATAACTATTGCTTGTGTGACTCAAACCCGGAATAGAGATACAAAATGTCACCATTAAGTGTTTTGAAGTCAACCCCTGGTGGGACATGCTCTACTTTCCTTCTCCGCGTCAATTTGGTGTTATTTCCATCTAACAGTTTTACTTAAGAAACAATCAATTGTACAATTAATAAATATTGAGAATATAATAATTGTTTTTGTTGTGGAAAGTCAGTGCTATGTGTTCCTTTCATTGATTTCTTCCTGTGTATGAATGTGATCTTCAGAGAAATTAAAAGTCTTTATTTGTTGTTATGTGTTTTACTGAATCAAATTCAAATGCAAAACCCCACCTGTTAAGTAACAGATTAGTATATAAATTCTTGCAAACCTTTCAACTTTGTGATCATTCATTCTACTCACTATCCTCCTTCTTCTTCTTCGTTTTCGCGTGCAAATATGGATCTTCGAGAGTCAATCACCAGCCAGACTGATGTTTCTTTCATGCTTGCTAAGCATGTTTTCTCCAACGCGGTTAAAGGCGATACCAACCTGGTGCTCTCTCCTCTTTCAATTCAAATAGTTCTTGGCCTTATTGCTGCTGGCTCTAATGGACCTACTCAGAATCAGCTACTCTCTTTCCTCAAGTCCAGTTCCATTGATGAACTCAACTCTCTTTATTCACATATTTCCAGTTTCGTCTTTGCTGATGGCAGCCCCAATGGAGGTCCGCGATTGTCCGTTGCTAATGGTATTTGGATCGATCAAACGCTGCCTTTAAGGCCTTCTTTCAAACAGGTTGTGGATAATGTTTACAAGGCTGCTTCAGAATATGTTGATTTTCAAAACAAGGTTAGGCCTTTGTTAATTTCATACTCTCTCCGCTTCAATTTATTTCTCGTACTTTTTAAGCCTTCAAAAGAAGAGAGCCTTGGTGTGGCTGGTAAAGTTGTTGTCATGTGACTAGGTCATCGATCAAGCTGTGAAAATAATTTCTTGCAGAAATGCAAGATACAACTGCATGAAATAGACTCTTATGGTCTAGCCAGTAGCCTTTCACTGTACCACGCACATGAGGGGAGCTTAGTGCACTGATTTCCCTTTTATAAGCCTCCAAACGTTCTTATGTGATATGAATACAAATGAGCAATTACTAATATGAAATGTCTAATTCTATCATTCCATGTTTGTCTTGCCAATTTGATTAAGGCTGCTGAAGTTGTCGATCAAGTCAATCAGTGGACTAAAATGAAGACAAATGGTCTCATCGAAGAGATTCTTGATCGTGATGCAGTGGACAACATGACGAGGCTGATCTTGGCCAATGCACTATATTTCAAAGGTGAATGGAATGAGAAGTTCGATGCTTCAGAAACAAAAGACCATGAGTTCCATCTCCTCGATGCATTGCCTATTCGAGTACCCTTCATGACTAGCAAGAAGAAGCAGTACATAGCAGGATTTAATGGCTTTAAAGTGTTGAAGTTTCCTTATAAACAGGGCACAGATACACGTTGCTTCTCAATGTATTTCATTCTCCCAGATGCACATGATGGATTGCCCGCTTTATTTGATAAAATTAGTACAGAACCTGGATTCTTAACTCACCACGTTCCATTTAGAAAAGTCAGGGTGGGCAAGTTTCTTATTCCTAAATTCAAAATAACCTTCGAGTTTGAAGCTTCCGACATTCTAAAGGGACTTGGGCTAACATTACCTTTCTGTGGTGGTGGTCTCACTGAGATGGTTGATTCCACTTTACCTGAGAATCCATCTGTTTCAAAAGTTTTTCACAAGTCTTTCATTGAGATAAATGAGGAAGGCACCGAAGCTGCAGCTGTTACAGCTGGTGTAATAATGACCACGTCTCTTAGAATTGAGAAAGAAATCGACTTTGTTGCTGACCATCCATTCCTGTTCCTTATAAGAGACGACGCTACTGGTGTTGTGTTGTTCATAGGGAGCGTGCTGAATCCTCTTTCTGGTTAATAAGACCATATAGCATGATTATATACAACTTTGTAAAGAAGGACAGTTCACAGTTTCCTCTCTTGTGTTTCTGTTTGATGAGAGATGCTATGTATCTAAATAACCAGTTTCCAGATTTGTGTATTATTTTGATGAGATCTTCTACTGTCTTTTGCACCTTATATAATTGACTCTTCTATGGTTAATATGTGTGTTTATTTCGACATGATATAGAGTTTAAGAAAACTTGAAAGAGTGAAGTCTAGATTTGAATTTCATTTATGTCCATAACTGATTTAATCTTTTCATTTACTTTTAACATGTATGCATAGAACTTTCTTTGTTTAAAAAAAATTGGAATACAGAAGAAATGTGATTTCTTGAGATAATAATTGTTATGTGAGTGACTCAAATCCTTAAATAGAGATGCAAAATGTCATTAATTATTATGTGCTTCGGCAACAACAGGTTAACTCTGAAGTCAACCCCTGGTGGCACATGCTCTACTTTCCTTCTCCGTGTTATTTTGGTGTTGTTTCCGTCTAACAGCTTCTGTTGGTCCCAATCAATCAACATTATTGACCATATAATAATTGATTTTTGTTGTGGGAAGTCAGTGCTACGCGTTCCTTCCATTGATTACTTCCTGTGTACTGAATCTATTCTAATGCAAAACCCCACCTGTTAAGTAACAGTATAGTATATAAATTCTTGCAAACCTTTCAACTTTGTGATTATTCATTCTACTAACTAAGCCTCCTTCTTCTGCTTGTTCGAGTGCAAATATGGATCTTCATGAGTCATCACCTCACCAGCCAGACGGATATTTCTTTCGTGCTTGTTAACCATGTTTTCTCCAACGCCGTTAAAGGTGATACCAACCTGGTGCTTTCTCCAATCTCAATGCAAATAGTTCTTGGCCTTATTGCTGCTGGCTCTAATGGACCTACTCAGGATCAGCTTCTCTGTTTCCTCAAGTCCAATTCCATTGATGAACTCAACTCTCTTTATTCACATATTTCCAGTTTCGTCTTTGTTGATGGAAGCCCCAATGGAGGTCCACGATTGTCCGTTGCTAATGGCATTTGGATCGACCAAAGACTGCCTTTAAAGCCTTCTTTCAAGCAGGTCATGGATAATGCTTACAAGGCGGCTTCAGAGTATGTTGACTTTCAAAATAAGGTTAGGCCTTATTCTTTCATACAAATATTAGTCTCTCCGCTTCAATTTGTTTGTCTTACTTTCTAAGCCTCCAAACGAAGGGAACCTTGGTGTGGCTGTTAAAGTTGTTGTCGTGTGACCAGAGGAGGTCATCAGATCTATCTGTGAAAACAGTTTCTTGCAGAAATGTAAGATACAACTGTGTGAAATAGACTCTTATGGTCTAGCCTTTCACTGTACCACACACATCAGGGGAGTCTAGTGCACCGATGTCCCTTTTATAAGCCTCCAAACGTTGTTATTTGATAAGAATACAAATGACTGCAATTACTAATATGAAATGTCTAATTCTATCGTTCCATGTTTGTCTTGCCAATTTGATTAAAGCTGCTGAAGTTGTCGATCAAGTCAATCAATGGACTAAAATGAAGACAGATGGTCTCATCGAAGAGATTCTTGATGGTGATGCAGTGGACAACATGACAAGGCTGATCTTGGCCAATGCACTATATTTCAAAGGAGAATGGAATGAGAAGTTCGATGCTTCAGAAACAAAAGACCACGAGTTCCATCTCCTCGATGGGTTGCCTATTCAAGTACCCTTCATGACTAGCAAGAAGAAGCAGCACATAGCAGAATTTAATGGCTTTAAAGTAATGAGGCTTCCTTATAAACAGGGCAAAGATACGGGTTGCTTCTCAATGTACTTCATTCTTCCAGATGCACATGATGGATTGCCCGCTTTATTTGACAAATTCAGTACAGAAGCTGGATTCTTAACTCACCACGTTCCGTTTAAAAAAGTTAGTGCAGGCAAGTTTCTTATCCCTGAATTCAAAATAAACTTTCGAGTTTGAAGCTTCCGACATTCTAAAGGGACTTGGCCTCACGTTATCTTTCTGCGGTGGTGGTCTCACTGAGATGATTGATTCCACTTTACCTGAGAATATCTCTGTTTCAAAAAGTTTTTCACAAGTCCTTTATTGAGGTAAATGAGGAAGGCACCGAAGCTGCAGCTGTTACGGTTACTCTAATAACGCCCATGTCTTTGTTTACTGAGAAGGAAATCGACTTTGTTGCTGATCATCCATTCCTGTTCTTTATAAAAGATGAATCTACTGGTGTCGTATTGTTCATTGGAAGTGTGCAATGAAGAAGAGTGAAGCGGTGAAAACACTCCAAACTTGGTGTCCCTGTGCCTAGTACTTATTAAAACACTCCTAGGCTTGACTAAAGGGACTCGGCCTCACATTAGCTTTCCAAACATTTTTATCTTTTTTGGCCATTTAGCACGTTAAAATACTAATTTTTATCAACATCCCAAATAATTGCTCCAAGAATATGTACTCCAATATGCTCAAATTCAAATACTTAGACAAACTAATTTAACGAAGATAACATTATTCCTTTCTATAAACAATTCTTTTTTTTTCCTTTTGATACCGTGGTACAAATTCCATACTTCTATGCTAAGTATTGACTTTTAATACTATTTCAAACTTCATAACGTGTATCAACTGTTCCATTTCTTTTTTGTTGACTCATAAAATTCTTCATTCACAAAACTCAAAAATCTCCATAGAAATGGACCTTCAAGAATCAATCAGCAACCAAACAGGCGTATCCTTAACGCTAGCCAAACATGTTTTCTCCACTGAGGTTAAAGGGGACACCACGAACATGGTCTTCTCCCCTTTGTCGATCCATGTAGTGTTGGGTCTCATAGCAGCGGGTTCAAATGGCCCGACCCGTGACCAATTGCTCAGTTTCCTCAAATCGAAGTGTACTGATGAACTAAACTCTCTTTCTTCTCAGATTGTTGAGGTTGTCTTTGCTGATGGTAGCCCTAGTGGTGGGCCTCGACTTTCGGTTGCTAATAGCGTCTGGGTTGAACAGACTTTGCCTCTTAAGCATTCTTTCAAACAGATTGTGGACAATGTTTATAAGGCTACTTCTTCTTCTGTTGATTTTCAGAAAAAGGTTCGATTTTTAACGCCCCATTTTTATTTAGAGCTATTTTCTTTCAATTTTTCAAATATAACTGATTGATTCTGTTATGAAATGCTTGATGAGATAACTGTTATATGAAGAGATCTGTTGAATTTGAGTTTTTGAGTTGTTTATGGGGAAATTTTGATGTTATTCAGTTCCAATGACTCTCTCCGTTTTAATTTGTTTGTCTGTTTTAACTTGATATGGAGATATGGAGTTTAAGAAGTAGTTTCAAATGGTGGAAGATAAACCAGTAAACAAGGGAAATAAAATAACAAAAACTCCTAAAATGGTGGAACAAAAAATACAACCTATGCAATAAAACAAGTACTAACAAATGGTGAAGAAAGGAGCTTTTTGGATGCTGTATGGTGAGAACTTCAGCCAACTGGGTGGAACTAGGAAGTTGTTTTCTTGATGACCAACAAACTCAAGTAAGGCCAAGAAAACTAGCATAACCTGTGGTAGAATTTCGATCAGTGAGTTTGCCAGCCCAGTCAGGATTGGAAAACACCGAGAGATTTAGACTGGTGCTTGGAGCAATTCGAAGGCCATAGTTAGCAGTGCTTTTGAGATATGGAATGAGGCATTTAACAGTCTTCCAGTGAGCATCAGATGGAGTATGTGTAAATTGAGACAATTTGTTCACTTAGAAAGAAACATCAGGCCGAGTAAAAGACAAGTATTGCAACTTTCCACTTACTTTTCTTGTATTTGGTAGCATCAGGAGATGCAGGATCAGCCGAAGTAGTCCTGTTTTATATTTTGTTACATAAGAGATTCAGTTTGATTAATGTTTATGCTCGAGGGATTGTCATTTCTACTTTTAGCTAAGATAAGACTTTTAGTGAACTTCATATTTTTGACATTGGAAATTTAGCTGCTTCGGCTTTTATCTTTATTTGTACCTTTTCCTTTTAGCTGGAGACTGAACTATGAACATATTGGGTATGCATTTGCACTAGTGATAAACAGCAGGCCAATATATGGTGTCTCATATATTTTCACTATGCTTATCATTCACTTTAATCTCAAATACTGATGTATTGCTACCCTCTTTGGAAATCGAAGAAGTTCTGCGATCATTGCTTAAAAAACTGACTATACTCTTCAAACATTTCTGTTTCTCTGCAGCCTTAGCATGGATAGTTTTACAGTTATACTGACCTATATTAACATTAGTCACCCAGTAGTTGGAGCTAGACTCATATTAAAAGGATAGCATTGAAGTGAATATAAAATAAAAATAATCCTTTGAATAAATTATTATTACAAAAGTTTGGATGGTTTGTAGGCTGTTGAGGTTGCCAGTCAAGTGAATCAATGGGCTGAAAAGGAAACAAGTGGGCTTATCAAAGAAATACTTCCAGCTGACTCAGTTGACAGTTCAACAAGACTTGTGTTTGCAAATGCATTGTACTTTAAAGGAGCCTGGGACGAAAAGTTTGATGCATCAGTGACCAAGGAAAGTGAGTTCCACCTTCTAAATGGGACATCTATTCAAGTGCCCTTCATGACTAGCAAGACGAAGCAATATGTAAAAGCTTTTGATGGTTTCAAGGTGTTAGGCCTTCCGTATAAACAAGGTGAGGATAGACGCCGTTTCTCCATGTACTTCTTTCTGCCTGATGCCAATGATGGACTGCCAGCTTTGGTAGACAAGGTCAGTTCTGAATCCCGATTCTTGGAGCGACACCTTCCATATCAAAAGGTTGGAGTCGGTGAATTCCGTATCCCCAAATTTAAAATATCATTTGGATTTGAAGCTTCTAACGTTCTGAAAGGGCTTGGCCTGGTATTACCTTTCTCTGGTGATGGCCTCACTGAGATGGTAGACTCCCCCGTTGGCAGTAACCTTTATGTTTCTAACATCTTTCACAAGTCCTTTATTGAGGTAAATGAAGAGGGAACAGAAGCTGCAGCTGCAACTGCTGGTGTTGTTAAACTAAGAGGATTGATGATGGAAGAGAAAGTAGACTTTGTTGCTGATCATCCATACCTCTTCCTGATTAGAGAAGATGCAACAGGCGTGGTACTGTTTGTTGGTAGTATACTTAATCCTCTCGCTGAGTAAGTCGTATTCCACTATATTGAGATTGATATATGTTGCTTGTATCTTCTTTGTATCACCCTCGGACTACTTTAGTACCCTGAGTTAGCTCAAACCACCTTCTTGCCCTTCTATCTCAACCGATACTGTGAGTTCAATTTGCCAACTGCTCTTTGTATGTTTGAAATTCAGTGTGACTTGTAATGCCCTACCGTGTACTATGAAATAATTGACATCAAAGGTCTGTCTAATACTTCAACTTAGATGTATAATATTAGTAAGTTTTATTTTAATCATCAATGAAGTCCATAATTTACAGTCTTAAATATCCATTAAAAGAGCTTAATACATTCTTTCTGGCTAACCTTTACTAGAAGTTGATTTTGATATATAATGTATCACTACTTCAAATCAAGGACTCTGGGCCCGTTGCACTAATCTTTCATTGTGTGTGGGGTTTGAGAAAGAGCTGAACTATATTTGAATCATATCATGATTACGCAACGATAACTTTTTAGAAGTTGGCTTCTTTTTTGTGAAAAAAATTAGAAATATGACCTATTATAATCGAGTGATCATCAGAGAAATCAATTTCAATTTTAGCATTACCTCCCTTCACTTCTTTAAACTTTATTGTAGTGAATTTTATTCGAAGATCTCTAGTGTGAAACTGTGAACTATAAATATATGACAAAAGAGTCTATTTATGGAATTTGAGTGTCACTATATTATACCTTATAAAAGCAAAGCAGATACCACACGACTTGAATTTAATTAATATAATTTGTGTACATGTGTATGTGAGCAAAGGCCGGTGCCGACCTTTTAGTACAACTTTTGAAGCAACATTTGTGTTTTGAATTTTATCCATTTTGTAAAATGAAATTTTTTTTAAAAAAAAAAAGTCAAATCGCTTCTCAGGCAGCAGTTTTCAATTTATTTATTTTTTTAATTTTATTTTTTTAAAAAAAAATAAAAATTTAAATCACTGCCTAGGTAGCGATTTCCTAAAAAAAATGTTTTTTTTAAATGGAAATCGCTGCCTAGGCCGCGATTCTATAAAAAAAAGGTTTTCATTTTTAAAAAAAATTAAGAAAATCGTAGGAAAAACAAATTTCATTGATTTTCAAATATTTTTTTGAAATTCAAATATATAGCTTATAAGAAAATATGCATTATTTTAAAAAAATTAAGAATAAGTAAGGTAACAAAAATATTTTCTTTCTAAAAAAGATATTATATTGAATTCAAATTTAAATGATGTTTGAGTTCAAATAGAATTCTAAATTCAAATAATTAATTTTTTTAAAAAAAAAAAAATCGCTGTCTATGCAGCGATTTCCTTGATATATATATATATATATATTATTTTTAATTTTTGAAGATATCACATGTCAACTTTTAAAAAAGGTGACATGTCAAATTCTTATAAAAATATTCAAATATTTTTAAAAAATTCACATGCATTTATAAATAAAATTGTGTCAATTCACATGCACATAGTGTCAAAGTCGCGTATTACATTTTTATTTTGTTATAAATTGATTAAATTGTAATTCACATGCAAATAGTATGATTTTTATTTTGTTATAAATTGATTGAATTGTAATTCACATGCAAATAATATAATTTTTATTTTGTTATAAATTGATTGAATTGTAATTCACATACAAATAGTGTAATTTTTATTTTATTATAAATTGATTGAATTGTAATTCAATGCAAATAATATAATTTTTATTTTGTTATAAATTGATTGAATTGTAATTCACATGCAAATAGTGTAATTTTTGTTTTGTTATAAATTGATTGAATACAATTCAGGTGCAAATAGTGTTAACTCAGAATGTTACACTTTTACTTTGTTATAAATTGATTGAATTGCTCATTCAAATTGCATTGTTGTTTTTCAATTTTCCAATATAGATAGCTCGAGTTTGAGTTATAATCGAATATGATATCTGCTAATAAAGTCACATATTTGTTATTTGTTATTCGTTATAATTTTTAACATGATAATAAGTATTTGATTCTAGCAGAAAATCTGATTGGATTTCTCGAATTCGATAAGTTTTTATCTTTACGTCTACCATTTCAAAAACGTATGAAATATTCAAAATTAGAACTAAACGTAAAACTCCAATTGAGTAAACGGGTAATAGTTATATAATATATGATCAAATAATGTGAATAATAATTTATAAAAAGTGAGATCCAAAGTACAAATTATTCCAAGTACACCATACTAATACCACGTGCTGGCGTGAAGTTTCAAATCGTATTATTTACCCAATTTAGAGCTGTTTTTGTTGCAAATTTACAATTTAACGCCATTACTAACATTGTCATGAGATCAATAGGGAGAAGTGTAGGAAAATCGTCTAAATAAATTATTAGTTTCGTTTTTAAACTATACCTGAAGAATGGAATACAGATTGACAAGCACAAAAGGATAATTAATTAACAGATTTAAAAATATATTTTTACTTAGCTAATTAAATCTAGATATATTTTCAATCACCTTCGATTTATCATATAACATAACCTCTGATTTCAAATTTTCATATAACATGTGACTCTTAATAAAAAAAAAATTGAAAAAGTGTAAAACACATTACTAATCTTAATGAGATTAGAATTTAGGAGTATATTAATCATATTGCAAGATTATAATTGACAGTGTGTAATTTAAGATTTCATGTGTCATATCAAATTTTTTAATTTGATTAATGCTAAGATATGTTTTGAGAATTTGATGGAAGAGTTTGGGTAATTAGGACAAGATAAGTCTCTGTCTTTATTAACTAATGGCAGACACTTTACAGGAAAAAAGTACTTAAATTAGCTCCTAATTTGTTTTCTTCTCATTTTCTTTGCCTTTAATTATTGCCCCTATATTCTCTTTAGCCCTTACACCATCATTTCAATTCAAACTAGAATTATTTAAAAAATATATATAAAAATTAAGAAAAAATGATGGTTTGTTTTTTTATTGTGTGAGTATTTTCTTCCATTAAAGCCTTTCACCTTTTCATCCTTTTATATCTTTTAAAATTCTTAAAACTCATATTGTCCTAATTAAAATTTATTTATATCGATCATTATTTTAGAGACCAGGCATAAATATCTTCTAAATTATAATGATGAAATTATTAGGTAAGTTTTTGTATTTAAAAATTTTTATTATTTATTAGAGAAGTATTGAGAACACCCTTAAAATTTAAAGCAAATTATTAGTTTCATTTCTCAATTGTTAACAGCTTTAAAATATTCTTTTACTTAATTAATTAAATATCTGATTTGTCACGTGTCGTATCAAATGATTTCTTAAATGTCTAAAACTCTTAATAAAAACTAAAAGAACTATTGAAAATAACCATAAACATGACAAGAATTTCTGAAAGTGTATTTTCACTCATGTCGAAGGTCGATTTAACTCAAAAATGAAACTAATAATTTGCGTTTAAAAAAAAAGGTACAAGAATGTCAATGTCGTAAATAAGTGAAGAATCAAGGGTACTTAGAAAGTATGACATCGAAGTTCGTGGAACCCACGCGGGATGTCTCCTTCGTTCCCATGCTATGCGTTATGTTCCTCGAAAATAACAAATACCTTAACCAGTTTACGTTAAAAATGTAGTCTTTTTCCCCTCCTCTTATCTCTTGTCAGATATAAATAAAATTATATTATATAGTACTAAAATTTAAAATAAAAAGATAAAAAAATGGGGTGTCTATAATTTGCATGTTTCAGTACTTATTAATCTCAAAATCTGATCTTGAGTATTTAAATTCCATTTACTTACTATTGTAATTAATGCTAGTCATTTCAAGAAAAGGGGAAAAAGACTCAATTTTTAAGCTCAGGTTTCATGTCGGTGCTGATTCTTGAAAACTAAGTTTAAAGATTCAACCTTTAGACCTATTTTGTAGATTTTTTTTTTTTGAGAGAAAATTATGGGGGAGACACATAATCATGAACACAACCACCAGCCACCGCCGCAACAGGCGGCGGCGCCACCAGCAATGCCACTTGGTTCAGCAAGAGGACCTATGTTTCCTCCGGCAGAGCAACTACTTCAGCTTCACTACTGCATACACTCAAATCCTTCTTGGCGTTAGTATTCTTTTTCATTTCTTTAATTTTAGTTACTTATAGTGGAATCTATACATGCCTTACTGAAAAGATAAAGAGGAAAAATTGACACTTTGTTTTGTTAAAGTTTGTGTCTTTTTCATTCTTGGATTGGGGTGAATTTTATAATCTTAAAGTATTGGGATTGAAATTGATGTTTTTTGTTGTAAAGTTTTTGTTTTTAGTTTTTTGGTTGGGGTGAATTTTAAAATCAGAAGTATTGCTTGTAATATTAATGTGTTTTTTTGTGCTGAAGAAGAATCTACTTGTAAAGTTAAAGATGAAAAAATTGACACCCGCCTTTTTGTGAAGTTTGTGTTTTCATTTTCATGGTTTGAGTGAATTTTAAAATCTAAAAGTATTCCTACTGAATAACCTTTTTGCTGAACAAGAATCAACTTGTAAAAGGTTCAACCTTTTTATGTTTTTTAAAATATGTTTCAGTTTTCTGATTGTTTTGTGTGATAGTGTCATCTTTGAGAATGTAAAGCTTCCTTCCAGCAGTCCTTCTTGTGTTCCTGTTCTTTGGTATAAATTGATGCCAATTTTCCACATGGTCTAGCTTTGTTCGCTCTTATTGCGAGACAATCACAAAAACAGAAGAGGTTAAATTGTTCCGGTTATAGTAAGATTAACTGTCAGAATGATGAATTGCTGAAGAGCTAAGTCTCCCTTCCAACGGGGAGAACTGATAACTTGGTGGTTTCCTCAAGCGGGATAGAATGGGTTTGATCAGAATACGCCAATAATGTTGCCAAATTGAGCTAATCCCCGTACCGTGAGCCTATAGTCCTATATTGACATCGCTTCCCAAGCTTCGATCCCGTTACTCAGTTTACTCATTTTTGTCACCAATTGTTAATGTGAGCTATGTATTCAGTGAAGATTCCATTTCATGTGCAATAGTAGAATCAGATAAGCCTGTTGGAAGTTTTCTTCTTTTGCATGGGATGTGACGTTGCATGGTTGGATCTACACTTTCTGCTGCACTTTGGTCGCAAATAATGTGGCGCATTGAGTTCTATACAGACAAACAAATTTAAAGCTATTCAGATGAGCCAAAGATTAGATAGATGAAAGGCCGCTACCTTCCAAAAAGAGGAGAGGATGAGGAGGCACTTTCTGAAACGACGTAGGCCATCTTAATTAGCTTAATTGCTTCTAAGGGTATTGGGATTCAATGATGATGAGGAAAAGGAAGAGTCTCTGCAGATATTATCGACTTAAAATTCATTATAGCTTCTAAATCGTCCAAGACATGTAATGGTCACTTTTTCATGTGAGTCAATTGGTGCTTATGCTTTTTGACTATCGTCAGGTGAAGAAATTGGAATCATAGTAAGCATGGTGATTTAGAAAGCTCCCCGCTCCTCCAATGTTTGGAGTTGAGATTGCTCTGACTGCCGAGTTAAATGCTTTTGTTTCTAGTATCGAGTTGTAACATGTTCTCTTTTTCTCTTGAGGGAGCTGTCTATCATGAGAAGACTTAAATCAAACTGTTTATGGGGAGTTGAGTGGTGTCAAGCTTCTTTCTTAAGATGCAGAATGTATCATGGAAGGCTTTCCATAAATGTGAAATTTGCATTCATACAATATATAATTTTCCAACCAAAAGGAGTTTCAGTCTCTCCATGGAATGACTGAATTCTGATAACGACAAAAGATCCTCTTAACCATTGGTAGATTGCCTCAACATAAACTGTTATTTAGCTAAAGGATAATTCTTGTATTTTACCATCCGAGGAATATACTTTGATAGAACAAAGGTTTCCCTATTGAGCAATAAGATCTGGCTTGTAGTTACCTTGTTTGTGCTGCATATGGCCCACTTGAGCAATCACTTCTCTGATTATTCGCCTTGTTCCTGTAAATTGGAATTTTTACTTTGTTATCACATAAAGAAATAAAAGAATTTCAGAAAATCGTGACCGTAACAATTTCATGATCTAACTTATCCTCCCAAAAAATGATTGTATGATTTGAAGTTTTCACCACCTGTAATGAGTTGCTGATTCTGAAACCTGACTATATTATTGGTCTTTTTCTCTAACTACTTGCATGATTCTAAATTTTGCAGCACAAACTGTTTTGTTGGCTTTTCAACACTACATAGTTATGCTTGGAACAACAGTAATGATTGCCACCGTGCTGGTACCTCAGATGGGTGGGGGTCCGGTATATCTCTGCATTTCCCTTGTTTGTATTGGAGTTACCTTTTCGATGTAATATTGACATTGTGAGCTCTTTATCTTTATGAGCAGGGTGACAAAGCTCAAGTTATCCAGTCTTTGCTTTTCACTTCAGGAGTGAATACTCTTCTGCAAACGCTTTTTGGCACAAGACTTCCCACTGTGATGGGTCCGTCATTTGCTTACATCATATCAGCTCTGTCAGTCATTAACGATCTCTCGGACAGTAATTTCAGGAGTGAGCATGAGGTAACAAAATTTATTGTTTAGGTATTACCTCTATTACTTGTATAATGTATTTTATGGAAACCTGTCATTTTTCTTTTATCGCACCTTTAGTAGGTCCATCCCCCTATTTCAGTGATAAGACACAGTTGAAGAATAATTTGATGTTGTAGTAAACCAAATTTTTTTCAGAATTGATATTATTAGTTTATTCATTTCATGTCTAAATAGGATTTGTAGTCAGAATTATACAGAAGGTTTTTATTATTAGAAATACGGATATTGCTAGTTATTTTCATAATGCAGAGAGTAGTGGAGAATGGAAGAGAACTCAAAGAAATGTATTGACCTTATGAATAAATTATCTTCCGTCAAAGTAGTAGCAGAGCTTCTACGATTTTGACAGAGAATCAAAAACCTTGCACTGTTGATGGAAGGTACTAGCCAATATGTGTTGCCCGTCTGGCCAAGGATTATGTTGGTGAACTCATAGACAATTGTCATGAAAGAGTTAGATTATTTTCCTAAGATCATTGATTACTCTTAAAGCATAAATTCATTTAAATCATACGTCACCTTACCTTAATACTCTAATATTAATTCTTTGATATTGTATGGTGGATTTTGACTTTTGCATTTCAGATTATACTGATAAAAGATCCAATGTAAGTCGGCTAGAATCAAAGATTTAAATAAAAAAAAGTGGATATCTAAAGCAATCTGCTGATAGGCAAAACTTTCATTTCTTTGTATTCCTTGATCTTACTTAGTGGGGAAATCTCATCTGAAAAATATAGTTTTCCACTTTTCCTTTACTTGTGCAAAAGAGAGGTTTATGGAAAGCAGAAGTACAGTATAAGACAAGATATTCTCATATACAAAAGTGCTAATGACATCATAGTCGTATCAATTTAAGTTAAGCAAGCCCTTGTTTGGGGGATAAGCTTAATATTTTACATGACTGAGCTACCAGATGACTACTTTTTGTTGGGTAAGTAGCTTGTTCCGAGATAGGTACTTTGTTTATAGAGGATATTCAAAGACAAGATGTTCTCCCATACAAAGAAAGGCTGATAGTTACTTCACTTGTAATTTGAGCAGAAGCATCATAGTGGAAGACAAGATTATACGCAGAAATGCTGATGAAATTTTAATCTCATTTAAGAGTTAGGATAAGTCAAAGCCACAGTTTGAAGAATCAAAAAAGACATGGCGTCTTAAAAGGCTTTTAATGCATGTTCTTGGAATTACAGAGTGCGTGAATCTTACAGTTGAAGCATGCTACTTCCATGGAACTACCTCTTGTGATGAAACAGAAAAATTAATTTAATCTGCTTCTCACGTTCACCATGTCCATATTGATTAAGCACCCTGGTTTCAGATTCTGGCTTTACTTCCCCTGTGTTTTACCTCAAAGTTTGGGGCTTTGTGTTGTTAATGTGAAGTATGTTGTCAATGCTCATGACAGTGGGTAATTGCAGATGATATTTCTGATGTATTACCCTGATATTGTTGTTTGTAGAGATTCAAGCACACTATGAGAGCTATTCAAGGGTCACTGATAGTGTCTTCCTTTATCAACATAATACTTGGATATGGCCAAGCGTGGGGAAATCTTACAAGGTAAGTTGTGTTTTCTGCTTCTAAATACTTTTAACAAGAACCATTAGTGTTGGTTTTGAACTTCGGAATCGTCTTTCCATTGCCTTCCCATTATGTTTCATCGTTGTATTACTTTTCCTGTTGAAAAAATGACATGTCATCCTCCTACTTCTCTGCAGGTTTTTCAGTCCTGTAGTCATTACGCCACTTGTCTGTGTTGTAGGTCTTGGTTTGTTTGGTAGGGGTTTTCCTCAGGTATTACCCCAAATGTCTATCTAAAATCTTCATTGCTCAAAGAGTTGCATAAACATCATCCAGTTTTCCTTATGATGCTATAATTTGATCAGGTGGGTGATTGTATAGAGATTGGCCTTCCCATGTTAATTCTACTTGTCATTTCTCAGCAGGTAATATATTATTTCATTGACTGTATTTTCGATTTTCTTTTGCTTTACTGGAAGATTGTAATGTTGGTCAAGTCATCTGCAGTATATGCAACGTGTTCATCCAGTTGCCCAATCCATACTTGAAAGGTTTGCTTTGCTCCTCTGCATTGGGTTTATCTGGGCTTTTGCTGCTATTCTTACTGTTGCCGGTGCTTACAACCATGTGAAGGAGCAAACTAAGATGAACTGCCGAATTGACCATTCGTTCCTCTTGTCATCGGCTCCATGGTACTCAGCTGGACTAAATAATGACAATGTCTTCAGCTCTCTGTCTTCTTCTGACATGTATGTTTTGCTGCGTGTAGGATCAAAGTTCCTTACCCTTTCCTGTGGGGGACTCCTATATTCAGAGCTAGCAATGTCTTTGGAATGATGGGTGCTGCACTTGTATCAGCAGCAGAGGTTCACTTTTAATTTTAAATTTTGTTCATTTCCCTTTGTATTAGATTTTCTTTTAGTAACACGAGTTTTAGTACTTGGTTCCACTAACAAATTATGGGTTTAGAGAGAATCACACCCCATGATTGCTTTCTGCTATAATCACTTGGTTTCCTTTCCCTCTAGCTAATTAGTTCACCTTAAAGTCTTATGTGTATATTCTTCTTGATCTTGCATTGATCCGAACCTGAATTGTTTGTGGCATTCACTTAAGCAGTTGTTGTTATGATCTCTTTCAAATTTACCTCAAATATTCATTTGCAGTCAACAGCAACTTTTTATGCTGCATCAAGGCTTGCAGGTGCGACCACCCCTCCGGCCCATGTTGTGAGTAGAAGCATTGGCTTACAGGTGCGACATCCACCAAGTGATTCAGCAATGCCTTTTCACTTGAGCACAATTTTTCTTCTAATTTAGCCCCTCCAATTAACTCTTCATTAGAAAGTTGTTCAGTTGTGCTTTGCTTCTTATCCAGGGTATAGGACAGCTCTTTGACGGGTTCTTTGGTGCTATTGTTGGTACTACTGCATCTGTGTAAGGGTTTTGATCAATTTGGTTGATATATAGTATCAACAGCATGCTTCTCAGTTAGATTTAGTTTATCTTGTTCTAAGTCTTTTACACTACATACCATCCGAGAACTCAGGTGTAGGCTACAGCCTAAAGCTACTTAAGTTTGAATATTGTGGCGCTTCATTCCTAATTTACGCATCATACAAAACTGCAGTGAAAATGTCGGCCTTCTGGGACTAACTCGTGTTGGGAGTAGAAGAGTTGTTCAGATTTCTACTGCTTTCATGATCTTCTTCTCCATATTTGGTATTGACATTCTCTCTCCCTCCATTTCTCCGCCACCCTGTCCCTTTCTTTCTTCATCTCAAACTATGTTTTACAACTAGCAGTGACTAATGTAAGTTGTTATTATCTAGGAAAATTCGGAGCATTCTTTGCTCAAATTCCTTTGCCCATATTTGCAGCTATCTACTGCATCTTATACGGTATAGTAGGTAAGTGATTTCTCCCTTAGCAGCTTGTTAATCTTCGCGTCATCTTATTAACAATAACTAAAGAAGGGATATGTTTTCTGCAGCTGCTATTGGTATTTCCTTCATCCAATTTGCGAACAAAAACTCCATGCGGAATATATACGTGCTCGGTGTCTCTCTATTCCTCGGTATATCTATACCTCAATACTTTGTGATGAACACAGATATAGCTGGTCATGGACCTGTTAGAACTCCAGCTGGATGGGTAAGAACCATTACTCTCACATGATCCCTCGTTTTTTAATTTTGCGATATACATTTAACAGTAGATTTTAGGATAATAAGTTGTACTTGCAATTACCTAATGAATCTTTTACACCATCATTGACAACCTAAAACTTAAAACTTGACCGATGTTTTTTGCAGTTCAATGACATATTGAACACAATATTCTCTTCACCTCCTACTGTTGCAACGATTGTCGGGACAGTAGTAGACAACACACTCGAAGCAAGACACTCATATGACGATAGAGGTATTCCGTGGTTGGTTCCTTTCCAGAGGAGGAAAGGAGATAGCAGAAATGAGGAGTTCTATAGTTACCCTCTTAGAATTAATGAGTACATCCCAAGTAGATTTCTGTGATAACTTATACATCCATGTATATGACTGTATCAAAGCTGTATGACAAAATTTCTTTTTAGCTCTCCACTTTAGTCCATTGTTTGTTTGTTTTTCCATTTCAATTCTTGTCACATGAAATTTTTGAACATCAAATATTTAAAGCCTGCAAGTTTTGATGATGCATAACCAGTAGGATTAAGTTTTCATTTATATTTCTCATGTTATTAACGAACGTTTATGCTGTGGATTTATGTCGGTATAATTGTACTACATAATTATAGCGAGACGTTGACTAGAATGGCTCTTGGATATGTAGATAGGTAGACTCCACCTATGGGATTATACTGTTTGTTGTTGTTAGGCATTAGAATGGTCTTAGCTACAACTTCATTCAATTCCTTCGCTTGCTATTATAAAACTTTTTTAAGGATATCTCGAGATGTCTGTGGAGATCGAGTTAAATCTAATGAGAATATGGTTCCTTTGCCAACTTGCCTTATGAAAATGAAGTCATATAAGAGTGGTTAACTAAAATGACATTTGTGCTCTATGTTTATGGGTCAAAAATTCTTTGAAAGCAATATGCTGGATGTGAACACTACCAAATTTTGGTGGAAAATTTATCAAATTCATTGAACAAACCTCACTTCTTTCCCAATCATCTCAAGAAGAAAAAACTAGCAAAAGGTCCCCACATTTAATTTACTAAATCTTTTTGTTCCATGAATCTCATTAAATAGTGTCTTTACTTACATAATTTCAGTGATCATGATTACTTATTAGCACTTAGCAGGGTCCACACGTTTACTTCAACTATCGTTTTCTGCTTCACGATGACAAAAAACTGACTTAAGTTTATGAATTTTGAATCACACCTCTTATCATTGAATTTTTTACGATGGCTTCAGAATTTAAATGTTGCTCGAGTTATAGCAGATAACTCGCCTTAGTCTTGGATTACCTTTTGTAATTTTGCTTCCAGCATTATGGTAAAGTAAAAGGAAAGATTAGCTATTGAGATGTAATCCATCTATATATTTACATGTAGCTATATATATTATTTACAAGAGATATAAGGAACCCCATGTAAAGGGGAAAATACAGAACTGGAAAATTAACTGAGCCTTGCTATATTTACACAAAAGAAGCCCAACGCGAGGGAATTGAAAACTTTGATTACTGAGATAGCCAGTCAAGAGTATGGCACTCCTCGGCAACCTGTACACAGAGACCTGGTACAGCCTTCTCAACGTCTTTCCATTGACAAAAAATTTCATCGTCACAGATAACACAGCGTAATGATTCAAGAAAGGATAGAGCGCTAGGCAAACTGTCGATTTGAGGGCACTCCCTCATATCGATCTTCTCTAAGTTTCTACAGCAACCAATTGCTTCAGGGAGACATCTCAAACCAACACATTGTGAAATGTCAAGGTACTTCAGCTTTACCAAATGACCAATTCCCGGGGGAAGCCTTTTCAGATGTGGGCAGGCATATATCCTTAGAACTTGTAGAGTTTGTAATTCACCTAAATCAGATGGAAGTTCATAAAGACTATCACAATTAGTGATGCTAAGGCTGTTGAGCTTATGCAACCGGCAAATGCTTGATGGTAGCTTGTTGAAGTTGATGCAGTGATCCATTGTGAACTCCGAGAGCTGTGGGAACAAACCAGGGAGGTCTACATCTGACTCATCTAAGCTGTTTTTCATGTCACAAAGCACTAGAGATATCTTTCGCAGGTTATTGAGAGGATTTGTGGAGTCAGATAAGTGAGTGATGGATATCTTCTCGAACCAAAGGCTTCTCAAGTTGGTTAAATGACTGAATACAGACATGTTATGAAGAACGGCATTGCCAGCACTATAGTTTATGATTATCAATGCCCTTAGCTTTGGCATGTTCTCCAGAAAAGGAGGTAAGAAGTATTCAGATGAGGCAAAGTTGAGAATCAGTACTTCAACTTTCGGGCAATCCATTCTGAACCAGTCCATTTCTCTCATTTCATCTACATTACAGAGAAATATTTATGTTTATATCACAAGATAAACTTTTCATTACTAAGCAATCAGCATTAATCAAGGATCTAATACCTGTATGCACAGAGATGACTCGTGCATGGAAAGGTTCGTCCACATTTCTTTCCCATTCTCTTGGGAAGCTTGTGTCTCTTCGCGGCATAACCAATCGCTTTCTCTTATTTATATCATCACGGTTGCTCATATGAATTGCTAGGTCTCGTAATACATCATGCTGAAACACCGATATCTCATAGTAACTTGTATACATGTCTCCAGCTCTGCCACATGAACAACACATTGAAGACTATCAACATATTGATTTTTTCCATAAACAATCACCTTCTAACAAAAATTAAAAGATCGTTTGAAGAGATTTGAATCCACCACTTACCGTGCATCTTTGACTAGATTTAGGAGATTTTTGTCTGAAAGTTCAACAAGAATGTGAAAAGCCTCCTCCTCATCAATATCATGTAGCTCCACCCACATGTTAATTAGAACATCGAGAGGAATCCTTTTGTCTTCTGGGAAAGCACCCAAGTCCAGGAAACACTCTCGCACCTTCTCAGGCAAACAGTCAATACTCAATTTCATTCGCTCAAGCAACTGCAGTTCATGAGACTCACAGACAGGTTGGCATCGTGATAATCTATTTTTTGCACTTGTCCATAACATCTCAGGTTTTCCCTTCAATGAAGATCCAATGACCTTAAGAGCCAAAGGAAGCCCTTCACATTCATCCACAATCTAAAAAGTCCAAGAAGCTTTAGTTAGCTTAACTCAAGTATAACAAGAAGTTTTTTGCAAAGAAAAATTAACATGCTGCCAAAAACACACACTAATACCTCTTTGACAAGCTTTTGGCTGAAACCACGCGGAAAGGAATTGTGTCCAAAAGCAAAATGGCAAAATAAGGACATAGCTTCATCTTCCCTTAACAGCTCTAAATCATAAACACAGTCAATGATCGATGGAGGAAACTTGATGCGCGATACAACTAGGATCTTGCATCCGGGGATCTTGAAAACTAGTGGCTCTAGAACAGATGCAGACCACACATCATCAAGAATCAAGAGTACCGGGGATGCAGATTTCGTATTCCATTGGTACTGTAGGTTCCACTGGGGAAACATCTCCCCGTATCCATAACCATGGAGATTACACCCTGATATCTTTTCCCAAATCATTTTCCTTAATTGCTCCACATTTGGAGATTGAGAGACAGTGAAAAAGAAAATCTTGTCCTTGAAATAACCTGGAAAAACATGGCCCAAATACCATACCATTATTTAAAGAAAAGGTTTTTAAGACCAATTTAAACTGTACTCCAATCAAAACTTTTTATGAGTCATTTACATGCAAAATTGATCTCTATTAGAATTCAACTGATAAAATAGAGATAATAGCTAATAAAGTTTTCAACTTTTATCCACTGTTTCATCCGCAACAGAAGAGTAAAAACAAAAAACTCGATCATCAGCAACGCAACACAGGAGTTGATTTCACAGATGGTCACTCAACTAATAGTTTATATCTAACAAAGTGACTTTCTTTGCATCAGAATCAAGAACGAAAAGAGATTTTCTGAGATAATAACTATAAGTTGAGTAACCATTTGAGAATTCAACCCCGCAAAAAGCTAAAATACTCTACATGAGAAACTTTTCTGGGATTAATTACTTACTTTTAACTTGATCATCTTTACAAATCTCTTTAGCCAAGGTAGTTTTGCCACTACCCCCAATTCCACAAATCTCAAACACACCCCTATCTTGTTCACCCATCAGCATCTCCTTCACCTTCCTCTTCCCCAATTCAATCCCAGCACCTAAATTTACAAAACTATCCTCAAACCATTTCTCATCTTCTTCCATTCTTTTCACAGCTTCCCCTAAACACCCTCCTCCTCCACCACTTCTATCATCAACTCCGATTTTTATAGCTTTAAGCCTATGCTCAAGCACATCAAATCTCTGCTCCATATTAAACCTAACATGATGAACATCAGCTAGTACATGAGCTTGCATTGTCACTTGCATGAACCTCGCTACTCTTTTCTCTAACCTCTCCATTTTCCTAGCCAACTGTAGGTTCCTGTTATTAATAAGGCATAATAAAAATTTAAGTACTAATTTCTAACAATAACCCTAATTTGAGCAGGAAGAAGTTCAATTCATTGAAATTAGAGTCGAATGAGAAGGTGACACCTGTACATGTTCCAACGGCCGGAGTGGAGAACTTTTCCGGCGAGTTCGTAGCCATCTCGGAGAAGTTTGGAGAAATCGTCGAGCTGAGTTTGCCGTATCTGTGGAAGTTCAACACCGGTTTGTTTGATTTCTTGGATGATTGGAAGGAGACCATTGATATTGTCAATGAGATTCTCTGCGCTTGAACGGCATAAAGTGGATTTTTTAACTATCAACAGCAGGTATTTTATGAGTTCGGTGGTAATCTCGCCGGCGAAAAAGTCCGTCACCGCCATGTTTGGAGACTTCAAACTGTTTTCCACATTCTGTTTGAAGAAGTTGAAGTTTTGAGTGATGTTATTATGCTAAGTAAGTACTATGTCAAATGACGAACTTAACCCTCTCAATTTTTTTTTTTAATTATATATTTTGTGTAATTACAATAACAATATATAAAAATAAAAATAAACGGCCAAATACATAAACAGATTTTTAAACTTGTTGGGTTTTTTCCCTCAGGAAACTCAACTACGTCATTTTTCTATCGATCATTGAACCACATATAATTTGTTTCTTTAAAAACACTGTTGGTTGATTTCGATCGGCTTTTCTATTGTAGATGCCTTTAATTATATTACAATTGTAATAATTTTGATTAAATGAATGAAGAGAAACCGTGTTAGCCTCATTTGTTTTCTAATGTGTTCAAATGACTCAAGTAAAACACAGTTATTCTCGAATATTTTCACTATTAATTGGACTAATGAGTTGTGGAACAACATATGTATCATCTATCAATACCCCTCACAAATCTAATTTCACATCAGACAACGATGTTTATTTAAACGGAATAAATTAGAAATCTCCTTATGTATTTGGCCAAAATAAAA